GAGTGAAGGATACACTGGTTGTCATCCAAATTAGGGGAAAAAGAAGACATTTGTTGGAGGAGCCTTTTGAATCTGACAGATGTTTCATCCCGTCATAGCTTTTTTCAGAAATATATTATCTGAATGAGTCAGCCCCTAAAATATGACACAGCCACTATGTATAGTGGAGGGATGATTGATTCTTAAAACCTTTCACTGCCTACCACCCAGCACTCAACCCCGCTCTGTCTCCCTACAGTCTGACATCACTTTTTAAGAGGAATCATTTTCAGCGAAGAGTACAGTACAGTTGAAGTTCAAGTGAGTCGTCAGAGGCCTGCATTAAGATGACAATCATTGTAGGTCAGATTCTGCTCTGAACATTTCCTGCTCTGTCTTGTTCCCATGTTTTATCTTTTATATTAGAAGTAAACCGACAGTTTGGGGTTTTGTGTTTTTTTTATTGTCAGTCAAACAGGAAAAGGCAGACGAGAGCAAAACAAGCAGAGAGAGAAACAAGACGGGCAGTTGAATGTTTGCATCTCTCCTGGAGGCCAATTAGGTGTCTGGCAGGCTGTGAGTCTCCTGCTGCTGCCGGGCTATTTCATAGCAGGAAGATGTGGCACTCTAGCATGCCCATACTGTAGCACTCGCTGATTCATTTAACCCTGCATGTTCCACATGGGAGCCCGTTCCTTCACAAACATTTGCCAGTAGTGGGTGTTAACTTATGAATCAGCAGATGTGGATTATTTCCAGATGTAGTCCCACTTTAGAACATAAACTCTGAAAGTTTCCAAAATATGTGTTTTGCTCCCACATGAGCTCCCAAATGAGTAACAAAGAAACAAGTTTTGTTACAAAATGAGATCTACGTGAAATTACACATTATACATGTTTATAGATCAACAGGATACACTTACCGTAATCTGCTTCATAGAAGAATGGGTATAGGTATATATCTATATAAAAAAAAAACTACATATGTTGTTTTATTTTATTTTATTTTATTTTATTTTATTTTATTTTATTTCATTTTATTTTATTTTAGGCTATTCTAAATTAGAATATTTGTATATGTGCTCTGTGTAGCATAAAGATGCTACCGCATTTTGCAACCCTGTGTTGTAATGACAAATAAATGACCTTGATTCCTCTTGACTAGAGCAAATAACATCTGTAAAATTCAGTTTAAAATCACATGTTACTGACTCGACAACCCAGATCCAAAGCTCGGTCATGTGTTTGTGTCTGCACACAACCACTGACATGTCAAAAGAATATTTTTTTACACCTGCAAGATTGAGTTAAGCCAAACCCGGCATCCTCTATTCCAGCCACCCGCACAGTAGGGTCAGTAGGTTATGAATGTCTATATTTAGAGCTTGTTGAGTGCTGTTTCCCCTCCTCTGCCTCCCTTTTCAAACTCCAGCTAATCCACAGTGGCTCTGTCATCCCTGCAGCCAGGACACATTAGCCATTGAACACAACACAAAAGCACATGCAGTGAGCTACGTTACATTTATGTCATCTACTCAATCTGCTTCTGATCAAAAAAATCCCAGATGCATCAGTGTTTGTAGAGAACATTTGAACTGTACTTTATTTTGCATGCTGGCCAACAAGCAGACAAAGCATAAATAAATATGTCATTAGTCATTGTTAGAGGGGAAAAAATCCAATCCCTCAAGTTTCATCACAATTGAGATCAGTGGTGTGGCAGTTATTGTCTTAAACAGTTTGAAACTTTATTTATAATTATTTCAGTACATATTGTTATTATGGTTTTCAGTAAAATCAAAATCATCATGTATCTGAGAAACTTTTGGCGTTAAATTATAGTGTTCTCATTTAGCCAGTCAATGTGTCTCTGTATCTGCATGTGTCTATTAAGTTAAACTTTAGTCTGAGAAAATGTTTGACCTTTAATTATGGACCACTGGGCAGATCATTTCTATAATGAGCTCAGTGGTTATTTGCAGTGTCAGCATATTTCTCATGAACATAAAAGCCTCAAAATCATCTCAGAAGTGATTATCGAAGAGATTAAATGCATTTATTATCAGGCAGTGCATCTGTATCTACAATCAGATCCCTTGTAAAATGAAGTCCATTGTTGTAGAACGAGTAAGATTACTGTTTCTGTACCAGAGGAGGTAAACACGATGGCGTTTGTTGATGTTGGCCTGTGTTTGATAGCAGGGAGGTTTGTTTGTTTCTATATGTCACGGTTCAGCTGTTCATGTCCTGTTGGCACGACACCGACATGGAAATTATCTTCTCTGTGTATGGTGCTGCCTGCCTGGCTGGTGCTTTGTCATTGATCGTCCCATCAGAACTGTTAAGATACATCAGCTGTACTGTAATATGGAACAGTACAATGGTCAAGGTACTGTAATGTGGAAAATAAAGCGTATGATAGAAAGACATCCACTTGTTCCACGCTGATCCGATCACGTACAAGGAATTTGCCTTTTACAATGAACGACAACTCAACCACACAGGCTGGGTTGAGTTGTGGTTGTTGTTCTTAGACAGAAAGCATATTTTCCAAAAATATTAAACTATAAAATAACCAAAAGCTTTATTTATATAGTAGGATTAAATTAAATTACATGATGGGATGTGCGATATAATGCAGATTGTAGAATCCTGAATTCAGTACAGGTAAAACAAATCTTTCTTTCCAATTTCTTTTCATGTTTTCCATTTTTAACTTTTTCGATGTCCTGCTGTCAAGAACTTTCTCAAGAGTTTTTAGTCTATTCCAAATACTTGAAGCTGTGCCAGATTATGTTTTCAATTTGTCATGTCTTTACAGTAATTAAGTCTAATCGGACAGACTCCAGCTGGGTCCCTCTGTGTACTCAACAGGGCATGACATTTCATCCCAGAATTAGCTTTGACATTGCAAATGCTTCAACATCCACACACACATGCCAAATAAAAGCCTTGTTTAGCTCAGAAGCATCATTCAGTGGTTTCTATTATTTACTATCATGCTCAACATTTCCCAGCACTTAGGTAGCTCTATTCCCCCTATCGAGATTACTGGAACTGCAGAGAAAGAGGGGACAACAGAAAAAGAGGAAATATCTGATCAATGCCTCAAAAAGAGAAGCAGAGAGTCCTGCGGTGTTAAAGAGACAGTATTGTTTTCAGACATATCAGAGGGATGTGTCACACTGTGGTTTTTCAGTTAAACGGGACAGTTTCAGTCTTTACAGAAACTCGAATTAAGAGGATTCGAGCCCAAGAAGAGTTTGGGAAAGCAGCATCAGGGAATTCACTGTAGAACAGTTGCAGGTACTGTGTTTCTGGCTTGAATCAAAGCAGCGGCAGTGATGAGCAATAGTTGTATTAAACTGTGTAAATGCGGTTTCATGTGTCACTGCTGCTTTTACAAATGACTGTAGGTGTGCAGCCTGCTGACAGCGTGTGTGTGTGGTTGTGTGTGTGTGTGTGTGTGTGTGTGTGTGTGTGTGTGTGTAGAAACAACGCTTACAACATGTGAGCACTGGGGTAACATAAAGAAATTGGTAAAATTAAGACAGGTAAGTTTAAGAGCATAAGTAATAATTATAAAATAATTGAAAATATTTTCAAATAGATTAAAAAAGTGACTTCTAGTTGCTGCTAACTAGGTGTTTACATCACTTTTAATACAACCAATTTATACTTCATTAGATCTCAAGAGTCAAAAAGAGACTTCCTTTTGTTGGTTTTAAAAGTCATGCAGCTTTCTGAAACCCATGTGCAGGATAGGTTCATATGAGTCAGCTTCTCTTTAGTAAAGCAGCAATAGTGCTTCTACTCAAAATATATAAGGAAGGTAACAGGTAAATAAGGAAGTTAATGTTCCCACGGCCTTAGATATTTATACCTATTAGCCTCACTGTGTGTTGGTATCTGCATGTCTGTGTGGGAGCGAGAGAGAGTGAGAGAGATAGAGAGTGAGCAGACAGGAAGTGATTCTGATTGGCTGAGAGCTGCAGCAGTGCTCCAACGCCATTCGTTCGGTCAGGTGGTGCTGTCTCTGACTCATTTCCCAGGGGCAGGGAAGGAAACCCTCCAGTCAGCGCTGAAGCCAGCCTCCCCCTCAGATAAATTATGCATCTCACAATGTGTGTGTGTGTGTGTGTGTGTGTGTGTGTGTGACAGAAGATTAGCTTTACCGAGCGCTGTGCCGTGTGTGTGTTTTATCTACTTTCTAGTCCCCCCACTTCTCAGTGCTGTAGTGTAGATTATCTATTTTGAGCTGTTTTTACAGTAAAAGTAAGAATGCGGGGGAGGAGAACTCATTCAACCTTTTTTGAAGTATAAATGATGCATTGAAGGTCACAGGATCCTGGTGGAGGTGCTGTGCGGTCAGATGTATTCGTAAAACACAGACAAGACTGGCTCAAAGTGGTTTAAACAGGGCCGTGAGAAATTTATAGGAGGGTCTAGTTTTGTGTGTCTGTGTATAGGCAAGCCTACTCACATATGTAGCATCTGTCTTTTTTTGCTTTTGCTTTTTTCTTTAAACCCCCAAAATGCAACTTGCTTTGAAAATACTGTGTGAAAATTGCATGTGTGGGTTTCCTCCTGCACTACAAAAATATGCAAGTCAGACAAACTGGAAACATACCGTCTAGACGTAGTTTCATTATGTCTTCAGCTGGCAGAACTTAATGCATTTTGAAATCAGTCCTTGGAAACATCATCCTCGTGTAATGTATTGTCATTTTTCAACAGCAGCGGTTAACAAGCCTCTAGTAAGCAACCCCCGGCACTTTATTTAGCTTATGAGGGTTCTGATTAGGTGTTGGCTGATCATGCCAAGACACATAAAAGCTGTGACTGAAAAGCACAGTTATTCCACTAAATATGCATTTTCAACCTACACAATAAACATTTTGAATGAAAATAGATTAGCTTAAAATTTTAATAATTGAAAAAAGACTTTTTTAATATTTCAGATGTCATAACAATGCTACTACTTAGAACTTGTAAGTCAAAGAGTGTCCTCTATCCTGCAGAGCTGAGTTCCACCCTGATGGAGAAGATGCAGGCCCAGGAGATGATGAGTGGCCTGAGAATACCAGAGATGGATGAGCTTGGCCAGTTCTTTCGCTCCCTGCCGACCTCCACGCTGGTGGGCATCGGCGCTCTGACCGCTGTGCTGGCTTACTGGTTGGCCACCAGACCCCGCCCCATCAAGCCACCCTGCAGCCTGCTGCACCAGTCTGAGGAAGTGCCGGTAAGACGGAGCACAGAAATAGATTCATAGATGCATTCATAAGTATATTAGTGTTAGAGTAAACATGGACACAAACACACACTCATTTCCAGACACACCAAGTGGATCATTTGCACTTCACTTCTTAAAAGTCCTATTTTTGTCCCCCAAATGGTGCTCTCTTACCATCCAGCTGCCAAAATCCAAATGAGAGAAGTCAGAGTTTATGTAATAAAATGCTGATACACTTATTTAGGGCACCTTCAGTTGTTATTATGCCCTCACAGCAATACGCTTCATGAGCAGGATGGAGTGCTTTGTGTTTGTTTGTTTTTTCCCCCTGGGCTTTACCTGTCAGGCCACATATGTGCTGCCCTAACCATCTAAACAGTGAAGCTTGACAGCAGCCTGAGAGGAAGACCTGCCGACACTACTGCAATCTCCTCTGCATGTTCTTTTGTACTTTGATTAAAGAGACACTAGATTTGAGCAACAATCAAATATAAGACAGTAAAGGACAGTTCAGTTAAGATGTAAATATTATCTATCAATAAGTGTCAGCCCTTTGTTAGTGAAGATCTACACCTTTGACACACACAGACACAAGACAATAAACATCGCAAATATTTTACAAAATGTGTACAAATGCTTGTTTGGACTTTGTTTAATGCCCACAAGCTGTGGATGCAACGTGCCCTCGATTACACCCATTCTGGTTCACCTTAACCACCATCCCCAACCTGACCAAACACACACTCTGTTTGTCACACAAACACACCACAGCCCTTTGCCTTCTCACCGTGACAGATGAGACTGGTAGCATGAAGTCAAACTTCTTTGAAAGGCTTGTTGTGGCTGTGAGGTTCTTTTTTGTTTTGGTATCCTGAGAAGGTGTTTGAAGTAGTCTTGCTACAGTCTAACAGATTGAGACGACAATGCATGACAAGACGCACAAATACACTGGCAGGTTTCGTAACACGCCAGGCTCCATAAACGTTTCAACCTAAATTACTCTTTTGCAAAAAGGAATTTGCTTCAACTGTTTTTTGTCTCTATGAGAATGAACTCTAATCACCCAGAATGCATCAGTTATGTACACACTGGAGACCAAAGCTCAGCTCAACTCAGCAGCACAGATATTTTTATATGCATTTGTGAGCTAACATAACACGATAATCCATGTTTTGTTAGCTCACAAATGCATATTTGCAGAACAAGGAAAACTATTCTTATTCTCCCTCAGGCTTTGGTATCCATCAACATGGCCTTTATGATGGAGAAGAATTAGAATCTTGTTTTTGCAAATAATCTTTTTCATTTTATTACCAACCCCCCCTTGAGGTTAGTGAAAAAGTTGTGAGAACGATTTTCACTGTTCCCTTGTCTCTCCTTTTGGGTCAGCATGAAGATGGAGGCCGCAGGTCCATGATGGGGGACAGCTCCAAGCTGCTAACTCATTACCATGACGATGCCAAGACCATGTATGAGGTCTTCCAGAGAGGCCTCCACATATCTGGTGGGTTTGATGTAAGGTGGCAAATAGGCACTATTTAGTGTTACAGACATGTGCTCTTTTGTCATCAGACACAAGTTTTCAAACTTCTAGATGTACAGTAAAAGAATACACACACACACACACACACACACACACACACACACACACACACACAAACACAATAATACCGTACTTTTCTTGTCAATTATATTAGACACGTAAGCAACCCTGTAGACAATGCTGTGGTCTGACCATAAAACATCCCTACTGCTGGAGGTAAAATGAGTCCTCTGGTTGTCAAGGCCATTGTTGCTAACAGTAAGCTCTGAGGAAGTTTAAGTGACTTAGTGACTGACTCAGAATGCAAAGACATTACTATCTCAATCATCTTTTTTCTTCAGAGGTGACTCACTTATAGTTTCTAACTTTTTAAAACAATTTTTAGAATAATTATACCATTGTCAATGAGAATTTTAGTATGTAAAAAAGGGACAGATGGAAGTGAATGATTAGTTACGTAAGTAAGGGGATGTCCCATAAAAAGTCAAGCATTTGTCTACAATACACTTTGCTTTTGGTGATTTATGGATATTCACCAATAAAATAATTTCAAATGGTGATCAATTAATTTGAAATAGTATAGTTTGAAAGCTTTAAACCTGCAGTAACTAGTAAAAAAAATATTATGGACAGCTTCATCTTTTCAGTTGGTATGACGGATTTGTTAGCAAATCCAGCAGTTATGGAGCAACATTATCATTCATTTGGAGTCCAATATCATTCTCTTTTAGCTCCACCAACTTCAGAGAAACATATAAGGGTTCACCAGGTAGTCGGTAACTGTGTCTGTCTGCGGTCTGGTGGTGAACAGCTGCCTGCTGTGACAAAAAAAACTACATCATGAGAACAGTGAGAGTGAACCAAATCAGTAAAGTTGTGGCTGGACAGCTAAACAATGAGCTGATACCCGTTATAAAGCTCCATAAAGCCGAGGAGAGCTGCAATTCCGGTGATAATACTATGTAGGTTAATCACTACAAGTGACCCGTTTCACATTGTCCAATTGTGTTACATTGTCATTTGATTGATTATTATAAAAATAGCGATTATAGCTGGTTTAAGTGACTGTTTTAGCCTACGTGGTTTGAGTTTACAATAACCATCAGCACTGCTATCATATATCATAATATATTTTTAAGTGTAGTACTATGTCCAACTGGGAAGGTTCTCATCATAAATATTTATAATGTTTTGTTCAGACTTTGATGTCTCACTGTGTTTTCAACAGGTGATGGACCTTGCTTAGGCTCGCGGCTCCCTAACCAGCCTTACAAATGGATGTCCTACAAAGAGGTTAGTGACATTCAGGGGACATCTTATCTTCACAACGACAGGTACAGTCCTAGCTGCGCACTTGCTGCAGGGACCAGGGTTCGAGTCCGACCTGTGTCCCTTTGCTGCGTGTAATGCCCTCTCTCTTCCCCTATTCCTGTCACTATTTTGCTGTCACTATCGATTAAAGGCAATAAAAGCTAAAAATAAAATTGACTGACCAGTAAATCAACTGATCATTTCAGCTTTAAATGTAAGATTCATCTTTTGTGTTGGGAAATAGTGTTAAATGTGTGTAGGTCCTTTTGTATTTGGAAAGTAAATATGAATGTGCTGCTTTGACTTATGCGTCACAAGTGTAATAAGTGATTAATTTCAGCTGTAGCACCAGGGTTGGTTCTGTATTCCCAGGAAGTTTTCTATTGCAAATTGTATTCTCTGGAAGACTTCAATCAAAGAATCAAATCAAATCCTGCTGCAGTGGAAAACTTCCAGCAGATTCAGGTTCCAACAGATCCCTGAACATGGGACATGTTTTGGAAAGTCATGGTTATGGTGGTGGAAGTGGGGGCGGTGGGTGGAGTGGAATTTTATTTAGACAAGTGATATAGAAATCTGTAGTAAAGCAATTCCTAAGGCCATGTGAAAAGCAAATTATGCAACCCTTAACATTTTGACATCATGTTATTTTATAAGAAAAAGGTGTGTGGAAGGTTTGTTCATTCATTGCACCACGTCAGGAAATCTATATATGTCCAGGTTGGAAAATAACGTGTAAGACTTCCACTAAAATTGGCACTTGAAAGTAGTTACGCTACTTTGTCTTCTGTCTATACACTGTGACATAAATCATGTTTTCTTTGATGTCTTTCACAATCACGGTAACTTAAAAAAAGGAGATTTTGGCAATTCAACTGCTTACAGAGTAAAAGGTCATGAATTTCTTCAGAGATGAAAACTGTGCTTTCCAAAATTGGCTTAAAATTGAGCAGATGACATTTGATTGTTATTGTATTTTATAGTTGAAGCATGATATAATACAAACAACATACTATGACCAACATAAACATGGATTTCCCTTTTTTTCCTAAATCCTATCAAACTCATTAAGTACACCGAAAGCTTCGCATAAAACTGTTTCCCAAGACATTGAAAAGCAGAACAAAGTCATAAAATACAGAGTTTGTCATATACATTACATGAAGTAATCTCTATTCTTGGAGGTCTACTTCCACATTGTTTTGGTTCTTTTTCCCTAACCAATCACCTGCTGTTACATCTGCCCACTCCATAGGTAACGGCCCGTGCTGAGCATCTGGGTTCAGGCCTTCTGCACCAGGGATGCCAACCCAACCCCAACCAGTTCATAGGAGTGTTCGCCCAGAACAGGCCCGAGGTGACCCTTGTTTACTGTCTCTTAACTATGCATGCTGTCTCTCACTCTGTCACTTTGTTTCTCACAGTCTCTCTGCTTCACCATAGCACACCAATTGGCTCGGACAAGATACACATAAACCATTTCACAGATGGTTTCGTTCATGCTGATGATGCTGATGTAAACACACGCATGCTCAAAAATATGTACACACTTCTCTGAGCATCTTCACATGGAGATCCCCCCTCATTTTCACAGATAAACCTTTTGTGTTAAAAAATAAAAAAAAAAACTGTTATGGCTTAAATAGATATTAGTTGGTATATGCATGGTCTCAAAATATATCATAAATATAGGAGTTAAAGTTGCATTTGACCTTTGAACTCTGGCTTGTGTCTGATTGTAGTGGATCATCTCAGAACTAGCTTGCTACACCTATTCCATGGTGGTGGTTCCCCTTTATGACACACTGGGCCCAGATGCCATTCGGTTCATCATTAACACTGGTAAGAACACACACATCCCACACAGACAAACAAATGCTAACTGGCAGTCATGCTAACACACACACACACACACACACACTTACACACACACACACCAGTATTCAGGAGTGATAATCTACTCCATGCCTGATCATTTTTGAGTTTGGGATGTAAATATGACAAATAACCATCTTCTGTTTGAAACCATGAAGCTTCATATAATTGCAGTGGTATTTCACAGAAGCTCTTATCAGTATGACTGTCTGAAGCAGTAGCTCAGCAGTAGCTTTTAGCAGTAGAGCTCCCCTCACTGGTGACTGAGAGCACTAACACACTAACAGTCAGTAGTGATACAGAGTGTGTTACGTCCTGGGTAAAAGCTTAATTAAAGACTGAAAAAGCCATAGAAACAGTCATAATGGTATAGCTGTTCTGCAAGTGTGTGACTACTGAGCCATTAACCTTATAAACTTTGCTTTTATAGGCCTAAGTTTGTACTGTACTGAACTGGACATAACTACAAATGGACTCTGATTGATGATTTATTAAGTTAATTAGATTAAGCTGATTATTTTAATGTTTTGGAACTCTAGAATCTCTCTCACAACCTTTAAGAATCTGACATTTGATCAAATTTCAGCTGAATCCCAACTCCACATTTGTGTCTTTTTGTTTTGTTTTGTCCCTTTTCGTTTCTTATTCTGCTGATATTCACACAAGGGTGCGTGTGCTCTTGTGTGTTTGTGTCGTTTCAGCTGACATCTCCACGGTCATCTGTGACAAAGTAGACAAAGCTCAGGTGCTTCTGGATAACGTAGAGCGGAAGGAGACTCCGGGCCTGCGAAGAATCATCCTGATGGATGCCTTTGACTCTGCCCTTCTGGAGCACGGAAAGGGCTGCGGCGTCCACGTGCAGGCCATGCAGGAAGTCGAGGTATGACACGTAGGAAGTAAAATCTCTATGAACTATGAATAAAGTAATTAAAAAAACATATTTTAAACTAGGGGTGTCTGTGGCTCAGAGGTAGAGACGGTCGTCCACTAATTGGAAGGGTGGTGGTTCGATCCCCGGCTCCTCTCGCTGCATGTGTCCTTGAGAAAGATCCTGAAATTGCTCCTGCTGCTGTGCATCGGTGTATGACTGTGTGTGAATGCTTAGTTTCCGTTCTGCAGTTGGCACCTTGCATTGCAGCCACTGCCGTTAGTGTACGAATGTGCCTCAATTGGGGAAGTATGGTATGTAGTGTACTGCGCATTGTGTGGTCAAAAGACTAGAATGGTGCTAGTTCTCAGAGTGATCTGAATTACTCATTAAAAATGAAAAAGGCTTTTTTAGTGTGTTCTCCTGAGTGGTTGTCGAAAGCAGAATAAGAACTTGACAGGTATTTACTGTAACTCAAGAAATGGTACTTTTACCTCTTTTCCATCCCTGTCAGCTGTCAGCACTCTTAGCTTCATCTAAACACAAACACATGTGTCATATATATAATTATTTAAATCTTAGAAAATGTTGTTATATGTCAGTAAATTAAGGTTTTCAGGCAATGTATCCATTAGTGGCCATATCAACTATTGATTATTTCAATATAGTTACATTTTAGAAAAGCCCAATTAATTCTCTAAACCAGCTGGACACTGTAGTTTTTAGCAAATAATACTCAAATAGAAGTACATTGTGCATTCCCGGAGAGTATTTTCTGCTCTATTGATTGTTTATGGCAACAGGACAGTATATGTGGAATTGACTACAGTGCCCATGTTAATGTTAATGAAGGAACATGTTGCCAGTGCAACACTGTAGCTCCTTGATGTGTTTTTAATTTCTGGACAGCCATGGAGCTCTATGGGTTAATAAGGAAAATATATTGTTATGCTGGCTGAGGCTACATTACTACAGAGAATTTTCATATCCATTCTTCTGTATGTCAGACAAACATTATTGTTTTTTCGCAAAGTAGATATTACCGTTAAACCGTGATTAACCCGAACATTCATGGTTAGACTGTCAGTGAAACAGCATTTGATTTAACTATGCCACCACAGTAATCGCAGCAGCAACCGCATACCTTTTTATAGTCTGCTAAAATCCAAGAGTCTCAACTATGCACAAACTGAAATTCCACAAACAGCCAGTCAAAACAAACTAAAGGTAAGATTTAATCAGCACAGACCAAAAAAAATCTGTAGTTTGTTGGGCATGTTAGATGGCATCTCTACTCATGGTATTTCACAAGCACAAAATCACACGCAGACAATACAAAGTGTGATAAAACTGACTGCCACATGTTGTTACGTCTCTATGTTTGAATTGCAGTAATTTCACTGCTATTTTCATTCCTGTAATTGTTAATGCTTCATTAGTACAATCATAACAACACATGTGAGACTGGTCCTGCAGATCATAACTGTGTCTGTAGCAAAGGCCTATTTAAGATAAATGCAGATTTTCTTTCCTTTTCTTACTTTATTTCTGAATGTATCATAAACAGAAAGAATTTGTACTCTTACACAGCCAAATTATGATATTCCAATGAGTTGCAGACTAAGGACTTTCACAGGAAAATAGTTGACAGTCACTTAACATAGTACGTAACTTGCATTTTTCTGTGATGATCAGCCTCCATGGAAGTATCGGATCTGTGCCAGTGTGGTAGACGCCCAGTTCATCTTTGTTTACCATGTGGCTTAAAATAAATGACATGACTTATTGCAAGTTAACACAGACCCACAATCACAAATTCAGCAACAAAGTGTGCGTGCACGAATGCTATCATGAATTCAGGAGATTTTACACATTTATTTTTCTAGAGATGGTCATAGAGATGTTTGTTTTCCATTAAAATACTACCACCAAAATGTTTGGCATTTGGCAACCAGATGATGAGAAATGAAACATGCTGTCCTTGGTTTAGAAAACACTTATGATTTATGCATATGAAGTCCACTAGTCAATGAGTAATAGTTGTTTTAATGTTGTTTTTTCTTACAGGCTCTGGGCAGAGAGCACTACAGAAACCCTATAGTAAGTACTCATTAAACATTCTACTATACAATACACTGTAAAACATTTTTACATTTTTAATTCAATGCTAGCAGCATGGCTCTGTCGGTCCATGACTTAATTCAGTTCAATTAAATTCAGTTTTATTTGTATAGTGCCAATTCATAACAAATAGAGCAGGTCTAGACAGTATTCAGAGACCCGACAGTTCCCACCATGAAGCACTCTGCGATGGTGGCAAGGAAAAACTTTAGTCCAGACTAAAATATCTCAATACTACATGATGAATCTCACTCTACTCTGTGTTTATTTCTTAGCAGGAGATGTTTACATGCTAACATACTAATGAACATGGCCGACTTTAGTCATTTTGAACATTTTAGCATGCTGATGTTAGCATTTAGTTAACAAGTCCAGCCTCACAGAGCCATTAGCATTGTTAAGTAAATGCTCTTTTTGGTGTAATGAACTCAGGACAAACTTGTTTAGAGACTATTTAGTGATTAATGTAACAGCTAAAAATTCTCTTATAAAAAATTATACATAACACAATAGCAAAGAAGCATAATGTGTTGCTGAATGCTTTTTTGTTTTTGCTGTTCTGTACAAAATAAAAACAAGTATCTGTAATGTGACAGATCGTTTGACTTCACAGTTTGCTGTTGTTTACTGATAAAGCACTGAACATTGACAATTATGCCCCAACCCTTTGGCTACTGGGCATTAGCCAGCTATGCAAGTATTTACTCTCAGTTGAAAGCCATAGAGAGAATCACGTCAAACTGTCTAGGTGACAGCTTTTTGGCAACTTACACCCGAAGACTGCACGAACTACTACTGGTACGACGCCAGTGGCTTAACATGACTTATTCTATAGTGACGTGTCATCGCAGGTTTCTCCATTTCTTCTTATGATAAGTTAAAGAAAAATCTTATGGTCTGACTCATACCATTGTTTCTCCACAGCCACCAGTACCGGATGACCTATCCATTGTGTGTTTTACCAGTGGGACCACAGGTAATGATTGTATGAATAACATACATTATTTGTGTTTGTGTTTGAAATTCTTTTTTTTATTAAACCACTTCTCATTGAGCAACAGTATGTGCAAAATATTTCCCATACTACACCATGCCAAGCCAGGGAACAGAATGCCCCAATTTAATTAGCCGACAACCACACCTTCAACAAGGTTTCCCTCACTGAAATCAGTCCAAACAATATGTTCACCTTATTATTGCTCTTGCATGTGTACAAAGGGATACGTTCACTGACCTGATACTGCTCTCTTAAATTCCAGTCAAACAGTAATATGCTCTCTGACTCATCAGTCTACTCTTTGTTCTCCTTGTTTCCAAGTTATAAAAAGGTTACTCAAGATTTGAACTGCAGGTAACTTTGAATTCAAACAATTTAAAATGCCAATAAATGACAAGATTTTTGTCTGATCTAATATTCTCATTCTGCATTATTTGCTAACGGGTTGAACAGAACAACTTGCTGATGACACACCTGTTCCAATCATTACCAAATTCCTTTCCAGGCCAAAGCAGTGATATAGCAGTATTCATTCACATGCATTCATTAATTTTCCCCTCAAGAGTGCTGATAAAACCTTGGGTTCACAGATAAAACCTTAGGTTGGCTGCAACATTTGCCCTTTGCTTTTTATCTGTCAATCCCATGTGGACACAGCGTGTCGCTTACTCTGTCGGGCTTTTCCAGTACAAACTTGGATTACCCATGACCACACTCTCATGGTGACAATGGGTGTTGTCAATGAAACATTTAATTAAAAATAATGATAAAACAAAAGCTTGAAATGTCAATCTGTCTGAAATTCGATACATGGGCATTTCTGTGAAATGCATTTTCTTTGATAAGAAAAACACCATAAAAAAGTAAAAGTACAACAGGGACACTCTCTAATAGCTGGGATTATGATGATTTTTGGACTTAGAAATGGATCAAATACTATGTTTTATGAGGAGAAAGGGAGACGAGTATTTACTGTAAATGATTCCAGTTTCTTCACAGCAGCAGAGTGACATAATAGCAAGAGGATAATTCCTTTGCATGACCTGAAATTCCAAAGGGCAGCACATTCAGAAGGCACCACTGCTTTTGTGGGAGGTCTTATCCCACAGCAGCAACAGCCTCTGAAATCAACAGACAAGGGGAACAAAGGGAGGGTTATGTGAGGACTCACTGGTGTCAGTTTACCAGTGACATCAGCTGTAGCTTGCCAGTTGAGGGTCAACTGAAAACGCTGCCACCTGCAGGCTTTGAGAGAGACATGCAGTCATACAAACATAGGGTTCAATTTCCACAAATCACTCTTGATTTCTCGAGAATTCCCTCCATCTTTGTTGCAACATCTATTCAGCTTTAAAGCTCTAAACCAGCATTGCTCACAGCTGTGGGAAACAGATGACATGTCTGGAAAAAGGAACTTAAAAGTCATTGCTTCATATACTTTAGACTACAGTGTGTGTAGAAAGGTCTGAGCAATAATATTACAACAACTTGGTAAATGTTAATTATAGCCTGTTATAGGAATTGCCAAACAAAAGAAAGACTATGATTCAGGATTTTTTTTTTTTTCACACTAAAAGAGCTGTTTTAAATTGTGACATGATAGATTTCTAAATTTCCATGGCTTCAAACCACAGTCTGGTAATTTAAGTATTTATTTTAAGCAAAGATGTTGTCCATCAATGCAGGTTTTAAAGTGTCCAAATGAGAAAATAATGAAACTTTAGGAAAACTCACCTCAGTTGAAATAAATTATATATTTTTTTTTTCCTCCACACCATGTTCTCAGTCTGTATCCTACAGTATGTCTCTTCTTTGAGTATCCCGCCTGATTGTGCACTATAGTGCAAAAACTATATATAAATGCTCCTTTGTTAACACAAATCCTTCCTGGGTTCCAAGACATTACTTGTGATTCAAATTCTGAGGAACTTCTTTCAAAACCCTCTTTTTTTCCTGGTCAGATTCCCCTTGGATGACTATGTGACTGTGGGTTAGGTGAGGAGAGTTTCAACTCTGTGATGTCTTGGTGTGTGTGTGAGTGTGTACTTTCTTTCTGCTTACACAGGAAACCCAAAGGGAGTAATGCTCACCCATGGGAACGTGGTGGCCGATTTCTCAGGTTTCCTCAAAGTGACAGATGTGAGTGACCTGCTCTTTGTTAGTGCTTTACTCAGGACACATTTTATAGCAATCCATACACTCCCTTTCTGGGAGGTTTAATGAAGACCTCTGACTTTGCGGAGTGATTCATCAGTCTAGTTTTCTTTCTCCTGAAACCTATTTTTCACGATGTTGCCAGCTTGCAGGACCTTTTTTTTTACGATCCTCTAAATTTTTCCTTTGTTCTGTATCTTCCAGAAAGTAATTTTCCCCAACCAAGATGATTGCCTCATTTCCTTCCTGCCACTGGCCCACATGTTTGAGAGGCTCATTGAGGTAAATGGACTGTTTGACCACAGGAATGCGAAGTTATGAGTTTCAAGATGTTAAGAGGATGATTACACAGCATCTATAGTGGGCGTTCATTTGATATTATTTTATGTTGGGGAGGGAGAAAAAGAGGAAGGGAGAGACTCCGTTCTCCCTTTTCATCTCTGTTTCTTTAGTTTTGCTTTCCAACTCTAATGATGATGCTATAATTGCCTTTTACAGCCATTAGTATGCATGTTGCATCATTTTCTAGCACACTAAACCACACACACATGCACATGTACACGTAAATGAGTAAAGTACCTTCAATCTAAAATCTGTGTTATCTGTAGCTGGTCACTTATCAGGTTTCACCTCTACTGTGCCTTCTACCATATTTGGAAGATGACATATTTAAGCGTATTTATTTGGTTCAGTTTTTGCTGGATTAGTTGGACTGGCAGAGGAGTGGGAACATGCACCATTGGTCCATGCAGTGTCTGAATTACACAAATAATCTACTGTTCAAATGTGGAAAACTACTTTTCAGTTTCAGGTTTAGTCAGAAAGCTAAATTAATTCCATTCTATCCCACAGCACTGATGCCAGCAGGAAACTTTCCCTGTCTGCTTTGTCGTGCATGTGCATGTTTGCTCCTGTAAAAACCCAGTAAGAAATCTGTTTTTAGTACATGTCTGAAAACTCAGGGTTTTCCTCCAGAAGCTGTACACAAATTTCTCGTAATCCCTCTTCCCAATTACAGGAAACAGGGTTGCCTTTTACATGACATCAGGTAACTACAGGTTACTTGCATCTACATACTGAATGACTGAATTTTAATAACATTCACCACTGCATTTCCAAACTAAGCCTTAAAGAACTAAAGGATGGCATGTCGTCTGGATACATTTCTGCGTCCTGACAAGGACAATTGTTCCCCTGAGATACAAGAAAACACACATGCACAGCGATACCCACATCATACAGAGACATAAACAGTAAAGGTTGCATCAGATTATTTAAGCAACCCTTGGTGTTTGTGTCTGCTTAGTCAGCTGTCAAAACCACAGACTACAAGAGCACCTCGACAATAATACTCAAACACATGGCACACAGGAAACTGTAACGACCCTACAGGCCACCCTTTCCAGTGTTTCCTGTTTTGTTTTTTGTTTCTTATCAGTTGTTTGTTTCTTGCAGTGGTAGTTTGGTCAGCTTGCTCATTTAACTTCATCCTTCTGAGAACAAATGAAAGGCACGTTTTATGTAAAATGTTTCATTTTGAGAAGAAAACGGGTTCCTTGATGTTTAGGATTTGGTGTTTCCCAAACAGAACTGAATATGTAAACTAAACCACTTTAGAGTTTTAGTTTCAAGCCAGCAGTTTCCATACAATTTTTTACTAAGTGGAGGTCTGGAGGGTCTGGAGGATTTTTGCTGAGGATCTGTGAAGCCAATTCCAATCCCAGTCAATGGCACTCACTGGGTGTTTGTTTAGACGAAACAAACTGAAAGAGGTTGTGCTGAGACTGCATTTTTTCTCTCCTTCAGTTAATCTAAACCTTGCTGAACCTTTTTTATACTAAATCTAAGGTATTGTTATTTCATTAAGCGGATCATTAAGTGTATGTGTGTGTGTGTTGTGTGTGTGTGTGTGTGTGTGTGTGTGTGTGTGTGTGTGTGTGTGTGCCTTCATGTATGGGTGTCATTTGCCAACTGGGTTGCATCAAGTTGAACCACCCTGGTTTGTTTGCCTGCAGCAGCTTTGTCGGCAGCGTGAGAGGCAGACACAGGAAACCACCTAACTTCCCCAGAATGCAGAGCATCAGATCACACAATAGAAACAAGTTCAAAAGTCTCACACAAGCGAGACATGAAAACACACCGCTCAATATCTCATACCAGTGAAATAAAAAGAAAAGAAAGGGCAGACCTTGTGCTTCGCCCTATTCTCAGATGACTTTAGAAACAGGAAGTTGATCACATTATGTGCAATTTTTCACAGCCACTTGACTGCAAAATGTGTGCAGAGTGTATCCTCAGTCCATGTTCAGTCTGTGGAAGTGTCACATGCAAATGACCAGTAAAGGGGTGTGTGGTGCTTCTGTGTGCGTTCTCATTAAAAATATCTTTTGTATTTTGCACTATATAGCAAAATTTGCAAACTGCACATCAGTTTTCTTGGTTTTGTCGGTTGTTGATTTGAGTCAGGGTTGTTAAAATGTAACCAGGAGCACTAGTCATATATTTTACGCCCCGGGTGCAGTATCCTGAAGTAGAAATGAGTAGTAGCCAGCAGTCAGCGCTTTTACTGATGATTAGTAGATGATAACTGATAAATGAGTCACGTCTTCTGCTCCTTGCTTTATTTAATCCTTGTGAGTGCTGGCATCTCCTCTCATGTATGAGTGTCACACGCTGTCAAGTCGTGCCTCGACATATACAGTAGAGTGCCTTGTTGCACAATCAAACAATCAGCAAGTTCAACTCAGTTTATTTCAGTTCACTTGAAAGAGACAAAAAACTAAGTTGTCCACCTTTCACCTGGCTTAAATTTTTTAGTTGCTGGAAAAATAATATCATACATAGAAACTTGCGGTGGAGAGTAGCTATGTACATTGACGTGTACAATCTAACCATAAATAAAGCAGATAAAAGCTACTCCGCCTCAATCTCCAGCTTGATCAGTTACAACAGTAAAATTCTGCTTATCCATTGATACAACAATTTAAAAATGACATATATAACACATTAGTCTCCAGAACAAATACTTTTAATTTGATATTTTGAGTTTTTAACTTTTACTCAAGTAGGTTCTTTAATGCAGGACACCTGTAATGGAGACTTTTTACATTTTATACTTGTACTTTTAATTAAGTGAAGAATCTAAGTAATGAGTACACTGATAGAAACAAAGAACAGCTTTCACACTATTCTCTTTATTTTAGCTTTTTTACAATATAGTACAATAAAGTGTGTACAAATCAAAGCATCTGCACATGTGTATCTCTGTTTCTAAGAATCATTCACATAATTGACAAAAACAACATTAATGGAGCATTTTCTAATACATCACAAAGTAAAACAATGAAACATATATGCAAACAAGGATCCTCTTTTGGTTCAGTGACACCAGATTTGAGAGTGGGAGAATGGGAACCTTCACAATTTACGACAAATGTAATGACTGATACACAAACAGGTATTTCACAAGAATGATAAACGAGTGGTCATAGGTTTATCAGTAATTTAGCTATTTGTGATGTATCAATATTTCAGTGTATCACACAGTAGAGTGTAGTGCTAATTTGGCTACTGAGCAATCCACCGGATTATGAACAGAATCTTATGAATATAAAGGTTTTATTTTTTTTTTTATTTGGGCCCTAATGCACTTTGAACTATCGCTTTGAAAAGTGCTACATAAAAAAAGTTCACTTCCGTGAATTGCTATCAACTGAGTTTCATCTAAAAACTGAAATCTGTGTTGGGATTTTGTCTGTAAAAGATACCAGATCGCTAATAGCATTAGGCTCATTATTTGTTTGTCTGTCTCGGCAGTCTGTAGTGTACTGCCATGGAGGACGGATTGGGTTCTATCAGGGCGATATCCGTCTACTCCCAGATGATATGAAAGCCCTCCGGCCGACAATTTTCCCTGTGGTGCCTCGACTGCTCAACCGCATGTATGACAAGGTGAGATGAACAGATGACGAAAAGGCTTTTGAAAGAAAGTGTTATTTCCTTGTTCTGCTGGCGATGAAGCTTGTATAGTTGATTTAACTACAATCAGCTGTGACTGATGATGTGGTTACTGTTTAGAAAACTGACTCCTACTCTAAGAGGGATTTGTGGTTAAAATTAGTAAAATTGGTTACCACTGCCATATGAGTCATATTAAGCTCTTTTCCATCCAGTACTGTAGCTGTGGTTTAGGGATACAGTGAAGTGTTTCCTAATTGACTGGGACAGTCTGGTTTTCCCAGAAATGAATGTTGTGTAATAAAAAACTTACAGAGAAAAATGTGAGGAGAGCAATGGAGTTTTGGCACTTACGGTGGTGTTAGGTGAGGGCAAATTATTTACATATATAAATTTACATGTTTGTAACAGCTGGAACAGGAAGCCACAGTTGCCAACCAAAAATATTTGTATAATTTCTTTGTCTCGTCTGCAGATCTTCAGCCAGGCTAACAGCCCGTTGAAGCGTTGGCTGCTTAACTTTGCTGCCAAGAGAAAAGGTGCTGAAGTCAGCAGTGGGATCATTCGCAGTGACAGCATCTGGGACAAAATCTTCTTCAGTAAGATACAGGTAAATAGGGTTTCCTGTGCCTGAACTAACTGTGGCCACTCTGAATACTACCACTGATAATTTGATTCATTTCTGCAATGTATTAGTAAATGAAGGCCCTTTGAGATATTTCCTAGACTTTTGGCAAAGTTAAGGGAAATTAGGCATCTTACTACTGCACTCCAGGAATTTCTAACTGTCTGGCCCAAAGAGTGGTGGCACAAGTTCATCTCACACCTGCTTAATACTCACTGATTGCATCATTTTTGCATCGGCAAAGGCCTTGTTTGTTTGTTGTTTTTATTTTTATTTTTTTTACAGATTTTCACTGAAAATAAAATAAAAAAAGGAACAAATTATGTGCATGAACACACCCTGCAAGAAGTCACTGTTCACTGTAAATTACAGTATAAATGGGGAGAGAAGTTTATTAAGCACCAGAACTTCTAAAAGTTATTACAAAACCATAGGATCACGGGAGTTCTTGTCTTCATTTTTAAACAACCACCATTGCCGATGCAAATCTATCTGACGTGACTCAGGCTGAAATCATGTTAAAGTTTTGTTACTCACATTCGCAGACTTCCTTCATAATGTACCCTATATCCTGTTTTTTTCCCAGAACTAGAGGCTAAAGGTATATGACGCCATTTACAGGCAACCAAATGAAACGTGCCGTTACCTTGAATAAAATTATGGATTTCTCTGGGTCGGAACATTGTTAAAAACATGTGTACACAACTCAACAAAACATATAACATTGTTACATATTATACCAATAGCCCCTTCAAATTTTGTATTTCTCTATAATGTTAAATAATGACAGAAAAAGCAAAACAAATCGAAACTAAAAAACATCATTGAATTATTCATCAAGAGTTGAATAGGCAAAAATGCAGCCAACTGCTTCATCAGGGGTGTGTGGTTTGTTTAGTTTTAATTGATATTAAAAGTGATCAAACATCCTACCAACGGTCATCAGATTGTGGTTCAATTGTTGCAAAATCCTGATTGGTTCTCGGAAATACATGACATAACATTTTCTAACCAGACCCTGTTCACTTAAAACAAGAAGAGCTCAGAGAAAGTAGAACAAGAAACAGAAAATGCTTGCGCAAAATGACTTAACAGAACAATAAAGCAGTTAAAACTTTGGCAGAAAATTGAGTGTTCATGGACCCCATTTATAAAAAGAAAAAGACACTCACATACCCAGGTCCAAGTCCACCTTGAAACGAAAACAGAAAATTCCACACACCAAATAGCTCCTGTAGAAAATGTATTTATTTTGCAAGTGATGTTTCGAGCGCAAGGTTCTTCCTCAAACTTCCTCAAACTTCCTCAAAGTCATGTTGCACTCCATCACAATACATTGCCAAGTGAGCGGATTAATAAAAAGGCCTTTTAAGCTCATTCTTTGAAACCTAAAACAAATGCCAATAAATTCCTGGATTGTTTTTTTTTTATTATTATTATTTACATTATTTTAAGAATGTTTTAAGAAAATAAAGCCCCCTATGTATTAATAATGTGTTTCCTGTCTGAACAGGCCAGCCTGGGAGGAAGGTTGAGGATGATTATAACAGGAGCAGCTCCTACCTCGCCCAGCGTCCTGGGATTCCTCAGAGCAGCTCTGGGATGCCAGGTCAGACACACACACACACACACACACACACACACACACACACACACACACACACACACACACACACACCTTGGCTATTGTTGTGAGGAACCTCAGTGACATAATTAATTCTTTAGGCTCTAACCATATCCTTAACCATTGCAATTACATGCATCATATAAACCCTTCCAGCGCTCTCAAAGCAGTGTATTCAGACGCTGTTGGGAACTGTTTTCAAGGAAAAAGCTATTAAAACCCACTGTTCACTACCTGCTCTGCACCAAATCTCTGAGAGGTACAGTTAGCAACTAGCTGGTGCTGAGTGGAGCGTTTAGCAGCTAAAGATATGGCAACAGATTCCTGCTGCTGCCATTCAAACCTGTGGTGTGAAGGGCTTAGCTGAGTGATATGATGCAGCAGGGAGAGAGGGGAAAGGTTTTGCATAGGTTTGCACAGGTTTTGCCTACTGCAGCTTAAGAAGTGGGGATCAGACAAAATGTCCTCACTTTCAAGGTCTAAAACTATGTACAACCGGCACATAGAACATGCACAGATACACATGCTTATAAACAACATATCCACACACAGATGTAATATGTGGGTGCATTCAAGTCCTTCACACACACCTCTTCTCAACAACATCTGTGTCTGTTTGTAGGTGTACGAGGCGTATGGCCAGACAGAGTGCACAGCTGGCTGTACCTTCACCACACCTGGAGACTGGACTCCAGGTGAGTCTCAGCGTTTATGCAACAGGCCTAGAAATGAAAGACGGATCCTTATCTCTGAACTACTCTATGAACTTGTTTACTTGACTTGAGGCTCGGTTCAAAGGTCTGAAAATGACGTGTTTGAGTTACGATTTTCAGGAATAAATTACTCTGATAGTGGAATATTGTTTGACTGACTATGCACTGCACTGTGGGGTCACGGATAATGCCACAGCTGCTCAGACACTCATAAAAGGAGAGACCTGGAAGGGTGAGACTGATAGAAAAGAAAGTACTGTTAAGCCACATTATTAACAGACAAAATGCCTCCTTAGGTGACTGCCAATGTCAACAAACAGGTATAAAAGACAAGGACCTGCCATAACTGCCTGTATTTACCATCCATTGTGCTGTATTGTTGTGTTGAATCTCCTGGCATTGATGGTAATTTTCCAAGTGACCTCTATGCAATTACATAGACTTAAAGGCTGCGTTATAATTAGCTGTCTGATTTATTGTAAAGTGTGTCGTTCTTTGAAGACAGTCATCAAATAATAGATGTTAAGTTGAAGTTAAACCAGAATAAACCTGTGCATTTTCATATATATACATCATTCTTATTTCAGCTGTGCATGCAAAACAGTGAAACCTGTCTTTTGAAGGTTAACCATTTAAAACATTATTATTATTATTTGTATTATTTGTGTTATTTGTATTAAGCACACATCATACATTTACTTTTGGGAAATCTAAACACTAGCGCACATAATGTTAACTGCAATCTATAGCATCTGACACAAAAACATATTATAACATTGACTGTATATATAAAAACATTTAAAATGAAATGTATGTATGAATATAACTAATTATTCAAATGATAAAATATCACTTACATTCAACCTTTATAGCACAAAGCAACATGTGAGACAGTGTAGTCTTTATCAGCCAGATTTAAAAAACTCTTTATTTCACCATTACTTCAAATACTGTTTATTTGTTGCTATTTGACTGGAGAAGGAAAAAAAACCTACTATAGTAAAAATCTGGTAATGTAAAAGTAAAAAGCCCCTCATTTAAAATGTACTCATAATAAAGGATACTGATTTACTTTTGAGAAGAGACAACATTATTAGATCTCTTTCATTGTGCTTGTAATTGGCTTAATGAAGGAGATCAAAGTTGTTTTGTAATTACATTTAAATTGTGAAACATTACACTTCTTTTCTTCATAAACACCAAATGTCTCAACAGTGTAGACCTCTTATGGATTAGCTTCAAAACAGATTAGTGTCAAACATTGTGAAATACAGTAATTCAAAGTAAAATTAGTGACACTAAAAAAAAAACCAAGAATGCTAAGAAGCTACTCAGTGACATTAAATAAAGATGGGTGAAAAAAAAAGAGAGAAATGGCACAATATGTATCATATGATTGCATATCATCCAAAACCACAAAATGACCTCTACATGTTATGTTCTTCAGCCTTTTGTGTGGCTTGCAGCAGAGCAGCAATTAAAAACAGTAACACTCGCTGTGTTGACTAACATCAAAATGTAGTCTAGCATCACCCCCTGCTGCTCAGTTCTGATATTCCATTAGGTATTTGTATATATATGAAAAAATATATGACAATTGATCTTTCTTCCTTCTTTTCTTTTTAGATTTCATAGACATGTAAATTATTTTTAATAATTGTTACCCAATGTGTGCAGGTGAAAATTCTACCTCCTCCTCCCATATTCGATTTTATATGAACATCATGTGAATTTGCTTATTGTTGAGCACAATGTATCATTATACACCGCTGTTAGTTATTATCTATAGGAAATCCATTCAACAGTGGTGCATTTTAACAGCGGCAAAGGCCACGGTGTAGGGGCATTCGGATTAATTCCAGCTCATGTACGATGGTTATTTTGTTCAGTTTTTAAATATTTTGCTTGTCCTGACCCATGAATAGGTCACGTTGGAGCCCCACTGCCATGTAACCTCATCAAACTGGTGGATGTTCCTGAGAAGAACTACTTTGCCTCTAAGGGGGAGGGAGAGGTACGCAATATTTAAAGAAACATACATACATATGTATGTGTGTGAGTACCTTTGTGTGATCGTCACAATATCCACACAGAGGAGAGAGAACTGTCAGAGAGCTAACTTTGAATGTCTTAAAATGCCAAGATAAGACACAAGGCCCAAATATGAGATGTGTAAAACAGCAACAACATTTAGAAATAATTTCAAGAACAGAAAAGGTTTGACGTGTAAAATATGAGAAATACAAGTCCTCTAAGCCTTTTCAAGGCAGTTAATGCTACATTATCTAGAGAATATATGTTACATAAGAACATACACCTTTCATAAGAATATAAAAATATTATCTTAATTAAATTATTATCTTTTCAGACCTAATTAGTGTTTGTACAGGAGTATATATATTTCACCTCCAACCTCGACCCTTTTCCACTTTTCTAATCTCCCATTTAGGTTTGTGTGAAGGGACCAAATGTGTTTAAGGGCTACCTCAAAGACCCGGAGAGGACAGCAGAGACGCTGGACACAGACGGCTGGCTTCACACTGGAGACATCGGCAAATGGTTACCTGTATGTGCATACAGCTCAATTCGGACTCTATTATTTAGGCATAATAAAGAAGTATTTTACGTTATACAGCTTTACAGTTTGCTTTAGATATGTAATTCATGTGGACCTCCCAAGATCTTTAATCCCGTTTTTGCTGCTTGTAATTGCTTCAACCTCTTCTCTCCTGTAGAACGGCACTCTGAAGATCATTGACAGGAAGAAACACATCTTCAAGTTGGCGCAGGGCGAGTACATCTCCCCTGAGAAGATCGAGAATATCTACATTAGGAGTCAACCTGTGGCACAGCTTTATATTCATGGAGACAGCCTGCAGGTAAGAACACGCAGCATCTTAATGAACTATAGATCTGTCCACATATTTTAAGACAGGACAAATAAAATATATGGTCATATTTAAGCAGAATCTATGTACAGTCTTTTGACTTTTACCCTTTATGTCTGTGTTTGCTCTTTCCAGTCTTGTTTGGTGGGAATTGTGGTTCCTGACCCTGAAGTCATGCCTGAATGGGCCAAGAAAAAAGGAATATTAGGCACCTTCAAGGATCTCTGTAAAAACACTGTAGGTGGCTCACAGCTTAAACACTTCAAAATGCTGTGAAAAATAGATGCTGAAAATACTGAAGAATTCTACGGAAGATAACTTTCTTCTCTTGTCAACAGGAATTAAAGAAGGCAGTCCTTGAAGATTTGGTGCGTCTGGGCAAGGCCAGTGGTCTCCACTCTTTTGAGCAGGTAGGCAGGCAGTTACTGTATATGTTAAGATTTGGTCTGACTTTTGTTGAAGCAATATTTTTCTTATTATCTTTAGAAAATATGTCAATTAACCTTTCAGTAAGGTCTGTTTGATTGTGTTGTGTGTTGTCTAATGTCTGTGTAATGCATTATTCACAAATTGCTTCAGTTGTGCTACTCAGTAAAAAAAACATAAGTAAAATGTATTAGGTATACCACAGCAGTTGATAAATATACTGTGGTTATCCTGCAAATTGTAAACATCTTCATCATCATGAATATGAAAGAGGGTGTTGGCAGATCTCAAATATTAAACAAGTGAAATAAAAGAGAGTTATTGACATAGCCTCTTGTGCTTAGCAGAAAGGTTTAGCAGAAATATACTGTATATTACAGGCCTTAGGCTAAAACCTGTCTTATCTACAATAATATTTCCTGAAATTACACTATTCTTAAAGTTATAACCAAGGAAACTTGGGAGGGGCCTCCTAAGAATCTTGGTCTTTTCATTTTCCTTTTCAAGGTGAAGAACATCTACATCCACAACGAAATGTTCTCCATTGAAAACGGCCTCCTGACGCCGACACTAAAGGCCAAGAGACCGGAGCTGAAGGAGTTCTTCAAAGGGAAGATTGACCAGCTCTACAGCAGCATCTCCATGTGAAGGCTGGAAGACCTTATTTTCCTTCAAGCATCTTAACACAAGGATCTGCTTTGACCATTGACCTACAATGGGACAAAGATGACACCTTAGGCTTAACATGCTTTGGGAAAGAAAGCCAGACCTGGCCCCTCTATGGAAGATTTAAAATTCTGAAATAAAAACAAAGAAAAGTAATAAAATGAAATACAATACACATTGTTATGTGTATTTCCTTTTTATGTATGACTTTATTGTGTCATAATTACATTAAAGCATATGTATATATCAAAATTAGCTTTTAGTGTAAAACTGAATGAATTAAAATAAATCAAAATTGATAACAAAGTGGAGCATTTCCGTGTTGTCCAGCAGAGACCAGCATTGACCTGCCAGTACTAAATGCATTGACTGAAGACGTTGTTAAAGCCAAAAAAAGCTAATGGCAGCAATTACAGACAGCCTTTCACATTAAACAGTTTCCTGTTGGCTAGCCGGCCAGAAGGACACTACTATTGACTGTACATTTAGTTACATTTGTGAATGACGGAAGGAATGTACTGTGCTGCACAAGGCTTTACAAACAGACAGAGGGATCTTCTTGGCTCTATTCTTGGTCAGTATTGACAATTAGCTCATGTTAGCTTACAGTAAACATTGAGTGGATTAATTGAGGAGGATAAGCTGATGCTAATAGATGTCTGCAAGGTAGTGAACTAAAATTGGTGATAGAGGTTTGCAGTGATTCATTTCACATTGACTTGGAGTCACCTGTCACTGTCACTGTTCTTCTGACAACATGACAAAGTGATACATTTGAGAAAATTACTGTACAAAGAGACCTACTATGTGGAAGCTGCTCTCTACTGGACAACCCTGAAATGCACCTTATTTTATGTGATTCAGTTTGATTTTAATATGACTTATAAAAGTGATGTCATTAAAGATAATTAATTTATTAAAGACAAAAATCTGGATAATTCTCCTTTTAACATGTTTTGCATTTAATTATGACACACAGAATGCATACAGAAAATGGAAATACATATATTATGTATACATGATGTGTATTGTATTTCACACAATTTCTTTTTCACTATTTGATTTGTTTTACTTTAGGCATTTTAAATCTTCCATACATCCTACCTGCTATCCACCCAATCAAACCATCAAATGCTCTGTCCCTAGCACCAGAAACTCATCAGCACTTTTACGTTGAGCAATCCATTCCTACTTCCTGTCAATCTTCTCTCCTCCGTCAGTTTATACCTACCAGCCAAATACAAACTAAAATCCCACAGTTGTACGACAGCAAGTGTGATGTCTTTGTGTATAGTGTAGCTCAAGCAGATGTCTAGATCTGTGATTATACTGACACCTTGTGACAGAAATGAACTTCATCCTCAGTGGAAAACAGTAGATTAACATTTGATTGAACAAGCTGCTGACATTAGGGACCCAATTAATCTCCCCTGATCTGAAGATTAAATTTATGCTCAACCCAGACATCATGCAGTAAGACCAAAAACACATCCTCCTGTGTGAGGTCTAAATTAAGATAATAAGGTTGGGAGACTAGAAGTTCCTGCCTTACAAATCATTGCTGTCCACACAGTTCCATGTGGGGCATTTGAATGTTTGAGGCACAACCAAATCACTGTTCCTGTCACGTATTCACTCATTCATTAAGTCATCTCTACATGGCTATGATCAGCAGTTTAGCATGCATGCTCCTTTATATGAAGGACTGGCCCGATGTAACAATCATCTAGGTGCGCACTCTGCAGTTGGTTCAATCACAACTTTCTTTACGTCCATCATTGCACAAAGAGTTTGTCAGGTAACAGAAAAAAAAGAAATAATGCAAAACCAGGGCTCAGGGCAATGCATGCAGTTTGCCCTGCAATGCTGGGACCATTAACGTTTGACTTGAAAAAGACGAGTATTTCTTTGTGGACTTTAATAGCAGGTTGTATGCAGCTGCCCGCAGCCACTGCTGCTAGTGCAAGGCTTCGTAACGTAGGCAAAGCTGATGAATTACACTCACTGAAGGAAAATAGAACAACCATCAACTGTTAAACAAAAGAAACAAATTTTTTGGAAGGTTTACACATAGAAGTAATGTATAGGCTTTTTAAGTTGATTACTGTCCCAAAGCATAAACAATGTGGATGTACATAAATGAGGACAGCTAGATGTAAGCATATTTATTAAATCAATGGTTTGAATGGATTTTTTTCTCTCTTTTTGCGTGTAGTGAGATGAATTGTACTTATTTATTTATCTATTCTGCTGTAAAATGGAATCAGCACCATATCCTTGTAATGATTGAGTGCAGCAATAGGGATGGGGGAGGGTGGGGAATAGGACACGGGCAATGAAATAAAAGATATTCTGGAATGATTTTAAACTGGTGTCTTTTTTCTTTTTTCATGGTGTATTAAATGCTATTTGAATACAGGTTTTACTTTGAAAGGTTTCCCTGGAAGTACTAGCATCTGTCTTGATACTGGTATGAAATATAAAGTGGGCCGCAGATTGTTTACTTACAGGCAAGCACCAACAGCATTATGTAAAGTCCAACTAAAAAATCCTCCTTAAGTAAAAGTAGTAGAAGTATTATCAGCTAAATATACTTGAAAGTATCAAAAGTAAAAGCACTATTTTTTAAAATATATTTTGGAGGGTTACGTTTTTGTCTTTATTGGATAGGACAGCTGAAGATAGACAGGAACGGGGGAGAGAAAGTAAATGACATGCAGCAATGGCCAAAGGTCAAATTTGGACCCATGGCTGCTGCAGCAAGGACTCAGTCTTGGTACATTGGATGCAAGCTCTGTCGGTTGAGCTATCGTAGCAACCCAGTAAAAGCACTATTAAAAAAACACATTTTTTAAAATTATATTGTTATATATTAAATACTTTTGTGTCAACTTTATATACAGTTAGGTAGTTTAGTCTAAGAATAATCTGACTTTGAGATAATTAATGGGGCAGAAAACAAAAGCATGTTGTGGGGTAAAAGTATAAAGTACCCTAGAATAAAATGGAAATACAAGTAAAGTCCAAGTAACTCAATATCACTTAAATAGGCTACAGTACATGAGTAAATTTACCGGTATTTACTTTCCACCACTGCAGACCAAAAAGCTAAAATATCTTGTTATTACTGCAACTATTTCCAGTTAGATATTATTGTTTGTCATGTGTAATAATGACAATAAGTTTGATTTTTACCTAACTTTTAATAATAAAAATTGACATTTAAACGTTTAGTGTTGTAATTACTGGCTGTAGCCACTAGAGGTAAGTGAGTACTCTTTATATACAGTTTATGTCATGCATGATGTCACCTCCAGACTTTCAAAATAAAATATCGTAATTAGCAGCTGATTGGTAGATTGAGGTTGCAGCTGTGCTCGGTTGCTAAGCAGCGCACAGAGAACGAAGAGGAAAAGTATTTTCACCATCCGGACGGATTATTAACTGTTACTCTCAGTTTTTATGAAGTAATTTAACACATTTAGCTTAATGCGTTAGCAACAACGTTGGGATAGGGTCTGTTTCATACTATTAACTGCCAGTAATTGGACGGAAATGGGTCGGTTTAAGTGTCGACTCAGTCATAACAGTGGACTGCCTAACAAACGAGATACACCTTTGAAAACAGCACTGAGAAGACGGGACAGTAAGAAATAAACACACTTGTAATTAACGTTACATCAGCTTTAGTGTACATTGAAAGTGATGTTCCTTTCTTCAGCCCATGGTATACACCTTAACTTTAGTTCTGATCAGTTAAGTCACTTATTTCACTTGTAAAATCAAGTTAATCAGCATCACTTTGAATGCAGATAAATCCATTTAGCTGCATCCATCCTTTACATTCCTTCTTTAAAACTTTCAGAGTGCAGGAGACTTCTGCCCAACAAGCATTATGAAGCATTTCCAGAGGAATCTGAGGTGGAGGAAATTAATATCATCACTGGCAGCTCAACCAACCCAGTTTTGGTGGGTATACTGATTAGAGAATAGATATATATATATGTATAGATAATGTTGACACACATGAACTGTATTCTCTCTAAGGTAAGGGAGCATTAATGTAGCATTTTATTTCATCTTAGTTTTGATATCACTCTCTTTTTCTTCTATGGGGGCATCTTTCTGAGATGCTAGAATTCAATTTCAAGTTGTTTGCCACGGTGTCTCACACTTTTTCTTCATCTCTCCCTATTTTCCATGCTTGTCCTTTAACAGACTAGCATTAAGCCTGCCCAATGCAATTCTGTGTTATGCTCGGGCAGCCCTGCATTTGCTGAAAACCCCAGAGGAAAAGCTTTTTCGTCTCCTGCACCAGCTAATAAAAAATCGGGTTGCCAAATGTCACTAGCAGGTCACCCAACTATTCAGATCACTCCTGATGCAGAGGTTTTTAAAGGTGGTGAAATGGCAGTTACAGAAGAGCCAAGCTTTGCAACTTCGCAAAGCATCACATCTTCTAGCATGGAGTCAGACACAACTTTCAGCTCTGATGATGATGATGATGATGAGGAAGACTGTTACTCCTCTGCCTCTTCAGCTTCCAGCAGTCTTCCATCCCCGGAAATCTTTAGAAAAGATGACTATGGTGTGTGCGCCTTTTTGGATATCCACAACCAGAATATAACGTTATTAAGGCTATTTAATTCTGTAATCTCTTCTCTTCATAGTGGAAACACTGACATTCCCCGTTAAGGAGGAGCTGCTGGGTCCCTATCTTCACATAAAAAACTCCACCCTGCTGGATGTGAGCCACGCTGAGAGCATCCACATGCATCACCTCCCCAACCTTTCTAATATCGGTAATAGTGTGAGAAAATTCCACACACATTTCCCCTGTTGTTTAAGGAAACTAGGCGTTGGAAGAAATTAGTACAGGCAATTTTGTTGGACATAAATTAAGTTAAAATAATTTTGAGGTAACCTTAAACTCCTTAATTAAAAAAAAGAAATCAGGTATACTATAGGTATATAAGTATAATAATTTGAGCATATTTGGCATTGCTTTTTGATTACAACTTAAAACATATAAGCAGTTGATTTCTGAAAAATACAAATAATATATTTTTAGAATAGAAAAGCGTACACTGTTATTTACAATGTATTTTCAGTGAGTTTCCCCACAAGTGTTTAAATCCCATTTTAAAACACTCATGTCATATTTATGAAAAATGTACATTTTGCGGGGACAAACTGTCCAGCTCTGTCAAGAAAAAAAGTGCGATATACTTTGGTTTCCAAATGATGGGGTGTATCTTAAAACAGTCTGCAATTGTCTGATATCAACTAAACCTCTGTCTGCAGATGCCTCTGCTATTCCTGCTGAAAACAACTGTGAAATCAAGTGAGTTTGTCAGTTGAATTTCTTTTGGAAAAGTCACTTAACATGCACCAGGGACCCTCACAGGGAATCAAACATGCTCACCAGAACTGGTTCAATCACTGTCTTTTCTCTTTGAAGCCCACACAGGGGACCAGAAGCTGAGACAGGTAAAGACTCAAACTGAATAATCTCATAATGAAACAAATAATATTAATATATAATTTGAATGTGAGTCAGCCATTACCATGCGCTTTTTAATGCAGTTCTTTACAGTAAATGTTATTTCTAATCAGTAAGTTTGCCTTTTTCAACCCTCAATCTGTAGACAAAGCCTTCAAGTTGAAAACGCCACCAGAAGTAAGAAAGTCAACTTGCTATCTATTACATGTAATTTAATATATCATGTGGACAATTTTATTTTTGTTTAAATCAAGTAAGAGGTATTTTGGTCATGGTCATATTTTATTTGTGCTCCCCAAGCTCGCCAACAGAAGGCCCATTTTGTATAAGAAGAAGGTATGGTTCAAAAGCCCCATGATTGCAGATATCTTTGAAGTGAAACACACCCCAGCCACCAGATTAACAATTCACAATGCCAGTGAGGCAGTCCAAGCGTCTGAGCAGGGGAGACCTGAGGCAGACACATCCAGAGCAGGTGAGATCAATTCCAAAGAAGAGGCATTACGACTGACGGTGAGGCTGAAAAGGCCTGTAAAAAGCAGCCCAGGAAAAGCCAAGTTCTTTGACTTTAGTGACAACAGTGACAGGGATGCATTCTTTCAGGGGATGAGAGAAAGGTGTGATAAACTCATAGGTGCTCCTCCATTTCCTCTTGCATCTGCTAAGTGCACAGAACCTTCTGTCCTGTGACATCTAAGGCCAAAATATTGTATGCAAAGATTTGAGCTTTCTCCCATAATCTAGTTTGAAGAGGTTTGTGTATGAAATATCCTGTATAGGAGTTTTCTGTGTGTACTTCAAAACAAGATGTCAAGACTTGTAAAATATGTTTGAGTCTTGTCTAAATGTCTAAAATGTAAAATTGCAAGTGTGTTATGTTATTTAAGTGTAATAATATTTCTAATGGATGCCACTCCCTGCAATGAAAGTAGGTGCCTGCGGACTATAAATGCAACTTACATTGCTTCTTAAGCTGGCCCTTATTTTTATAACACAGCCCGCTGCATGAATGTGATGCATGTGCTTTTTTGCCACATAATTGGTTCTTTGAATACATTTTTTATGAACATGCACTTTTCAATGTACTATTTTCACTCATATTTAAGCACCCAAACCATCTCCTGATTTTCTTTATTTTGGATAAATGTTATGAAACAAGTATCTGTTGCAAAATGACCACTAGATGTCAGACCTGTATTTTATTAAATGGCCATCTTTTCTCTTCTCCTGACAAAGATTATTTTCCAGTTTTATATGTGAACTATATATGTTTGTCTTTCTTCATGTGTGTTTTATTAACTGTTTTTTGTTTTGTTTTGTTTTTTTACACGTGTCAGTACCTTTAAGAGTGTAATCTAAATGTTTAATGTAAAGTTAAAATGTCAATTTATTGTAGTTTTTTTTGTTGTATTCTGTGAATCTCTTCATCTTTTCTGCAAATGTTTCTGAGTCAGAAAAAATATCCCAAATAAATGAATATACAATAAATACATAAATGAATCATTCTTGTTCGATACAACTCTTTGATTGTTTGTTTAGCACATTTCTGTCTTTTGCATCAAACTCTTTTCTCATGTGGGTCTTTCAAGGAGCTCCGACCCGTGTCTCGCAAACACTTCAGCACTCGCACTTGTATGATTTCTGTGAATAAATTACATGCTGTCACGGTTCCGGACAAAACATCAACACGGCGAATCCACAAACCACGTGGTACCGGGCCAAAAATACCAACCAATCAGGGATTTTGTAGTAGCAGCAGCGCTCGGTCAGCCAATCAGAAAAATGTAGTGAGTTACCAAGCAGCTCCCGTGACTAATGCCTGTCATATGACTGTGACACCCATGGAGACAGTTACAAGGAACAAGATTTGCTCTTGGATTTGAAAAGAAAAGAGACCTTCTGTACCGACTTTATTTTGGTACAAAATGCCTCCGACTCTCTTCCAGAAACTTTTCAACAAGAGAAATGCATTTTCGTCGCCGCCCCCGAGATGTAGCAAAGAGGACCCAGCTTTCAGGTAGCTATTATATATGTGTGTGTGTGTGTGTGTGTGTGGGGGTTTGTGTGTAACGTTTTACGTGTGCAGGCTAACGTTATTTATTATGACTTTTTTTTTATTATGCCGTCTGGAAGGGTGACAAGAGTTGGTTTTTTTTTTGGTCGTGAACTCGCAGACACTTTACAGATTCACGCTGTAGAGTTTCGGTAATATTTGAAATGGATGTAACAAAGTGCGGGGAGACGTGTGCCTGTTGGTGAGGTTAGCTCACATGCTAACGCTAGCTAGCAGACGACAGCGCGGCTGCTGCACACGCTGTCTCTTGTTGGGACCAATGGTCGGGAACTCGGCTTTTGCCTCGTTAGCCAGCACTTTTCTTTTTCTTTTGCTCGTTTACGCAAGTATTTCAGCTCCTGCGCTGATGATAATAAAGTGATATTAAGTTGATGATAAACGCTTTTCTCTCCCTTCCCGAAGTGTGGTATAAACAGCTAATCGGCATCTTCGCTTAGAAGTTGCAGAAGAAGATGTCCTGCTTTCTTCTTTGTCTCCCTCGTGTCGTCCTCTGCGTTTCTGTGGTAACGGCAGTTAAGGCTGCGTGGTGGCAAGGCAACAACAAGGCAATACAGTCACACTGGGGTTTTTTTTTGTCTGTTATCTTGAGCTATATACCCCCAATAACATGCATGTAAGCGCAGCTGGCTTCTCTCACTCCTCCTGCAGCGGTACTGGACGCTTCGCCAGTGCCGTCAGACAGCAGAGGAGGACACTGTGTGCTCTGTGTGGGAGCACATGTGATCACTTCAGTCGGTCACTGATGATAGACAGATCCACGGCAAGCCGGGCTTCAGCCTCCGTGCACAGGCTTTAGTAGGGGGGGTGCACACTGTTAAACGTTTGCGGTGATCGCTTGTGTTTTTTTTAAAGTGGCCGACACGGATGTTTTTCGTTTTTTATGGAGATATCATCATATGTCAAGTTTACACCAGTGATCCCTAGCACTAACGAAATATAGCATGCCTTGATTTAGTATTGAACACGACACTGTTGTCAACTACACAAATACCATGACACATATATCTAGTTTACACCAGTGATGCAGATGCAAGATAGTATGCTCTGAGGGTATGCGTAAGACTGAACTGGTTGCAGGTGTCTCCACTAAAGCAGACAAAATAATAAAATAACTTTCAAGTGCAGAAAAAATATAACAATTTAAAACGTCTTTCCTCTTTTATTTTTTATCCGTAAAGCTCTCATGTCAGGCCCATTTGAACATAATGCATCGGGTATGCTTTTGATGTCACTTATGATTGCAGTGACATGTTGTAAAGCAGCCATTGCCGGATACTGACAAGCTTACATCAATATTGTGTATCTATAGCTGCTGTAGCTGCTGGTTTCAAAATGGAGTAAATGTAATGAAAGAAGATTATGTGAGGAGTTGTCTAAAATATTTTTATTTTATTTTGTCCATGTAGATAAAGTATAACATTTAATGTCCCTATAAGCAATATAAGTGTGCGTTATTGAGATATTATATGGCTAAATTCAACCTGGCTGACTAATGTATCATTGAGGTGGCTTGTAGGATACTCTATACTCCCAGAGTTGATTTGCAGTTTCCCTGTGTATGTTCTTACACACATTCTGGGTCAGGGTCAGGTCCACCACCAAGGGGAAAGTGCTCTTTTTAGTCTTAAATACACTTGCATTGGAAAATGTTGCTCTGGGCCCGTCACGCATGGTGGATATATTTACCAATGGAACAGAAAGCTCACCTCCTTGTGGTGCTACTTGCACTTTAGCACATATCTCTGCCAACGCACGTTCCATGGCCATAAAGGTGCCCTATGCCCAGTGATATAAATGGTGTGTGTGTGTGTTTGTGTGTGTGTGTGGTTGGGTGGCTGGCTTCAATCCTAGAGCAAACAGGCAGACAGCAGGCGTTCCTGTTAACTCGGTGGTCAGCTGTGTGCTTCATACCTCTGACATGAGCTCCCCATTCATTAGGCATGCATTGCTCAGGTGGAGAGGGCAGAACTGTGAGAAGACGAAGGCAAGGAGAAGGAGTGATGGATGGAGAGGACATTTGGGTGGTAGTAGGAATAAGCTAGAATACATAGTTTAAGATGTAAGGGATTCTGGGTGAGAGAAAATTGGTGGATGAGAGGGTCTTTTGCAGAAGGCAAGAAGAGAGCATCTGAAAGATGGTGTAAAAGTTGAGGATGGGATTGGATGAGTGGATCGGTTAGAAGAAATGGAGGCCCTGGTTGATGACAGATAAGAGTTTGGTTAGTCAAGAATTGAGCAGGCAAACTTAGAGGACAGACAGAGTAGAGTATATGGTATGACTGGAGACCATTGACAGAGGTGATTACATTCACAATATTCTGATCTTCAGCTAAGAATAAATGTTTTAATTAAAAACTGCAGCTGACCTACCTGCCTTGTGTTTGTTTGCACTCAGGACAGCTTACGTAATTGAGCAGATATTATAAATCGAACTGGCTTGCTACATGGTTGCAATCCATTTCAAGTAAGACTTTGAAGACACTCATTTGAACAAGTTGGGTTGACCAGAATAATGCGGTCCCTGATGGAAATAATAGAAAAGAACCTGCCCACTGGAATCAGAGCTCCCTTATTAACTAAATGTCACCTGTCATAGTATATCAGGCTAGATTTAACTTAGTAGAGTTAGACCAGTATATCAGAAGGGCTAGTATTTATAAGCTGACTTAATAATAGTAATAGTAATAGATCAGAGATGGTGTGTGTCATGTCATCATAAAAAGCACTAACTTTTTATAGAATATTACTTTTGTTGAGTGCATTTTGTATTTGTATTGCTTTTAGTGTATTTTGATATTCCAAATCCAAAATTTATCGATCATTGCTACAAAGTAGTATACTGAAATACGTTTTTGTTGTATATCAGTATATCAGCATTGACATCAGCCCAAAGGGTTGGCTAATGTTTGGGCATTTGTCCTACTCAACTGTCTTGCAGGTGATGAATAAAAGTTGCTACCCTGCTTAATGCATCACCCAAAGTTCTGTCACAACACCGCACTGTGCCCTCCAGAATACCACAAAGGGCAGCAGGTTGGCAAACCATGGGAGGAAAGCCTAAAAAGCCTCTCCTGTTTCCCTGGCTGCAGCACTTGACAAGGGACAGCATACTGTACATTACACTGAGAGCTCCTGGCTCATCCTGTAGCTGGTCAGAGGCCTGATCGTCAGCCAATAGCTTTGTCGTCCCCACCCACGACCAGACTGCTTGTCCTGGCTGCCCCCTGCCACTGCCGGCTGCTGGGGGAACTTCCTTCTTGACCTGGGCCATACAACTCAATATGGCTGTGTTCGTGCTGAGATACGGAGGGAGTGTGTGTAAGCCAGAGAGGATATGATGGGTGTGGGCAGCCTTTGTTTTTGCACACCGTTTTTTTTAATAAGACCTCAAAACCCAAATCAGACATGTTTAACAGGGGGAAAGAGGTTTCATACAAGTGAGCTAATATTGATACTATATATTTCACCCTTGATGTTGTTAGGAAGAACCTTTGACATGGCTGTTGTATTGACCAGAAGACAATATAGCATTTTATCAGCTAGCTCATAGCTGATTTATTTTGTAGGCGCACTCTGCAATTTTAAGTTGGTCCTAAATGGGAATGGATAAAGCTCTAACACCTTGTGCAGCAAACTTAAAATAAAATGTAGACATAGTAAATCATATTTGATTTGAGTATGCTGCACACCTTCGGCTGGAACATATCTCAGAGTCCTCCTCCCTCTGTGAAAATGCATGATGTTGCATATTGCAGAACAAAACTATACGCCACATCAGATTTATGGTGATACTTTTTTCTTGGTAGTTTACAGGAGAAGTAGTGTCTCAGGTTCCTGATTGGCGTGGTGTCCTTCCTCCACTGCGCACTTTCATAACTCAGTGTGTCATGTGAGTCTTTCATCAATCTCAGGCTGTCATGTTTGTGGGACGATCACATGGCTGCATTCTCAGTCACTGGCATAAAGCTACAAGTTGCATAAGTAGAGTGTGTGCCTGCTCGTCTCGCATTTTTTGCTACTTGTGCATATTTAAAGCTAAATTTTAGCATAATGGATTGATGTACTATAGCTTTGCATTGCAAGGTTGCTTTCTTCTGCATGTGTGTGAATGCTGCAGGCCTGCCAGGGTTCTGTAAAGACAGCGGCTGTCATCAGGTTCCTATCAGGGCTATTTTAAGTGGCCACACTCAGGATTCTCAGAACTGCAGGGTCATGGTAAAGATATAGTTTTACGTAAAAGCTTCACACACCACACACGAGCAGGAGCATTCTGGTGAGTGTTAGTATGTCGGCTTAATATCTAGTTAGGCCTGTATGTCCTCTTACTTTGTGAGGACATAAGTTCAAGTGCTGCCCATGTTAGATACACTGCAGGATATCACACT